CTTGTCTGGTGGGGTGTTTTTTTTTTTTTTTTTTTATTTAATTGGATTCTTGACATTGTGGATTTGACTTTTGGGGTGTTGGCTGTTTTTAATACTCATTTGTACATTCTTGAGCTCATTCGGTGACATAATTAAATTACTCACAAATCTTTTAACCTTCCCTAGGCTCGCTTTTCAGCTTTGTCAGTTGAGATGGGAGCAGCACCTTCCATGGCTGGTACCTCTTCAGGGGCACCATGAGAGATAACCCCCATCCTAATGGGTACCTGTTCTGTGATGTAAACACTCCCCACCCATGCATCGGGCACAGACTCTTCTTGCTCTGTGTGACCAGCCAGGGATATTTCCCTTGAGTCACGTTGTATTATTGTTTCTTCAGTGCTGGGTGTTGTTTCTGCTGATGTGCACTGGTCAGGATCCAGCTGAGGTGCGGGGAGACCCTGTGTGGATCTGTGGCATTCTGTCTCTGTGTGCAGCTCTTTCCCCACCCCCCTTCTCTGTGCAGCTCTCCTCTCTCCAGTTTGCCCTGCAGACTTCAGGCATGTGGGATAACAGATTCATCTTCAGACCACTGCAGGTTGCCTCTGCAGGCAGACTCTCGCTGCATGCCCAGAAACCACTCCGGGTTCACCTGGACCACCGAGCAGTCTCTGCTTGGACTGACTCCAATTTCTATGTCTTTCTTCATCTTTCAACTGTCTCTATCATGGTTCATGGTGAATGGAATGCCACTCTGCCCCTCTTTGGGAGGTATTCTGAGTTTGTCTCCATCATGGTTCTGCTCATGGTGAGTGGGGTGCCACTCTGCCCCAATTTTGGGAGGCCTTCTGAATTTGGAATAAGGCCCAATTCCCCTAATGGGGCATCTAAGGTCATCTGTGAGCTCATGGAGGTTTGCTCAGCCTTTGTTTTCTAAACCTCTTTTTCATGACTCTCTTCTCAGAATCTTTCCCCTTGGCGAGTCCTTCCCATCTCTTATTGCTCTGCACACTCCCACAGCTGTATCCATGCTTTATCTCTTCCCAAAGCACTTGTATTCTTTTTGGGGGCCACCATGGTGAGGGCCTCAGGCTGGGTGGGTGACTTAAATATCAGAAGCATATGCTTGCTCAGTTCTGGAGGCTGGAGGGCTGAGAGCAAGGCACCAGCCGGGCTGGCTCTTTCTGGGGACAGTGAGAGGGCAACTTCCTGCTTTTCTCCCAGCCTTTGGCAGATCTTTGGCATCGCTTGGCTTGTGGCCCTCTCCTTCCATCTCTTCATAGCGTTCTCCCCAGGTATCTGTGTCCAGACTCCCCTCTTCATAAGGGTCCCAGCTGTATTGGATTGAAGCCCTGCTGCTCCAGTATGACCCCATCTTAAATGACTACATCTTCAGCAGCACCATTTCCAAATAAGGCCACATTCTGAGTCACTGAGGGCTAGGACTGCCATGCAGATTTTGTGGAAAGACAGTTTAATCCGTAGCATCCCCACTGCTGTGTTGGAGTGACAGGAACACAGAGTGAAGTGTCGCAATGCCTGTCAGTGTAAGAAGGTACTGAGAAGTGCCAAAATACACCAGCACTTCCAAACTTACTGGATGGTCATCTCTTGCCCCATTTGCACGTCACCAGTGAGATTTCTGGGGACACATCAGGAAATGGACATTATGTGCTCTCCCTGACTTCTGGATTTATGGAGCTACGAACATTTACTCACCTCTTACTGGGTTGACACGTGACCAAAAGGTCAACGCAGAGAGTGCGGAGCTGCTGCTGCTGGAGGCAGTTGTCGTGGGGTTATACGACCCCAAGGAAGGGGCACTTCAGAGCACAACAGAAACAAACTCTTGTCTTGTGGGCACCCACACTTTAAAAACTCCCAGCTCCACCTGGCCTTCTAAACTCTCTCCAGGGTTTTCCCTTGAGCCTGCCCCCAGCGCCTCCGGCCCCCTCCCTGCTCTCCTTCTCTGAACGCTCCCTGGAGCTGTGCGTGGGTCTTGTCTTGCTTCCCACCCTAATCAGGCACCTCCACATTCTGTATCCCAATGGCATTGTGAACTCTGCCCTGTGATACTCTTTCACGAGCTACAGGCAAATCGAGTCACCCTTTCTCTCAGAGTCTCGGCTCTAAAGATCCTGACAAGGAAATCCCATTTCAATAAAGTGGGGATTTAATTAAATAAATACACATTTAATTTCCCGTGCTTGGTAGCTTTCAAGAGACCATCAGTCATTTACTCTAAAGTGTATGTTTTAAGCGCTCATGGGGTGCTTATGAGCCTCCCAATGATGCCATCTCGGTGGGGTTTGGCCTGAGGAAAGAGGCTGCTGATATCAGCGGCTCTGTGGCAAGCACGCATCTCTTGTGGTGCTGAGCGCATTCGGAGCAGCCTGGGTTCCCACGCAGTAATGCGAGCGGATGTGGGAGAACGGGAGACAGCAATAACCAGCCCCCTGTCTTTCTCCACACAGCTCATCCCTATGTGGTTGCCAATGATTCAGTCAAATACCAAGGTAAGTCGTCCCCTGCACTGTCTGGGAGGTCTGCTTCCTCCAGTGAACCTCAGAGCATCCATAGGGACACCGCTGCTCCCTTGGCTATAAAGAAAGAACCATTCTGGCTTACTCCTGGTCTCATGGGTTGATAATACCAGAGACCTGTGGCAGGTAAGGGACCCACAGAGGGCATCACTAGGAGCCCTGGTCCCACTGCTCACTGTGGATAAAGGCGCAGGGATGGAGGAGGCACTGCCCCTAGGTCTGAGCAGATTCAGCCCACGACAAACCCTATTTAAGGAGGATAACTGTGGAGTCTGGCCCAAGCTTACCCGCTGATGTCATCTAATAACCAAGATTGATTTTCTGGGATGGAAAGAATTCCATTAAAGAAGGATAATACTGAAGGAATAGTGGCTAGAAAGAACCCACCTTCATTTTACACGTGAGGAAATTTGGGACCATAAAGAACAGTGACTTGGATAGCATCCCAGGTCCTGGAAGGAGGCCCCCAAGTGAATGTATTTTCTAATGCCAGGTCTCACCGGGGGATGTGTGTGACATTTTGACACATACCCCTTAGTGACAAATATAGTGGGGCTTGGCATTAAATGCGAGAGCCAGACACTGCACCGTCTACATCTGGTGCCTGTCTGCGGCACCTGGAGTGTCGGGGAGGGGGAGAGGGCAGAAACACTCTTGCTATATCTGCTTCCCCAGGTTGGGAAGCCATATTGTTTGGAAGGAGAGGGAAGTGGACTCCAGACACCTGGGATATCAAAAGCCAGCAGGGCAGCCTTTGCATCCCGGCTAGCTAGCTGTGGCCACCGGCAGGGCAGGGATGGACAGACCACAGGGCAGGGATGGACAGACCACTGGAACCTACTCCGGTTCCAGTTTCCACTATCAAACTAAGCCCCTAGCCTTCCTACCTGAGGCATTCCAAACCGCCAGCCCCACAGTTTTGTGCTAATCTGTGGCAATTTCACATGGCACCAAGTACAGAGGGCAGGCCAGGAGGGCTTGGTGAGGAACCGGGGAAGGAGGAGCAACAACTGTCATGGACCCAGAGAGACCATTACAATATTAAAATGTACCCAGCATCTGCTATGGGCCAGGTCCCCTTCTAGAAAATCTGTTAACTCACTTGTCTTAGAGAGCTGTGAAATAAATATGTCCCCACCTGGGGGGGGGGGTAACAATATAAACTAATAGACCCTGTTCCCACAGCTTCCCCAGGGGAACTGGGATTTGAAACTGGGAAGTTCCACTACAGAGCCCAAACACTTAACCACTGTTCTAGGCCCCTGTACTGAATATGAGTGGTTGCTCAGGACCAATGCAGCAGGCCAGGTGCTGGGCGTCAGCTTCATGTTCCCATTGCAGTGAGTCAACATGAGCTCATCAGTATTTGGATGGAGTTGGGCCAGGATAACTGTAGTAACCCAGAGCAGGCTCACCCCATCCCCACCCGCACCTCCAGCTCTGCCAGATTTGAAGGCATGCTTGCTTCAGGCCAGGTCCGAGGTCTACCTGTAGACCGACTGCCATGCCCATCCCTACCTGACATGCGCACTTAGTGGGAAGAACTGAACTGTCTACCCTTTTCTTAACAGCACTTATCCGCCGGCCTCCAGCTCCGTCTCCAGGCCATTCAGAACAACGTGAACCACCACAGCCTAAGGACGCTGCCCGGCTCGGGCCAGAGCAGTGCCAGCCTGGCTGCTCTCCGCAAATGGCTGCAGTGCACCCAGTTCAAAATGGCCCAGGTGGAGATCCAGTCCTCGGAAGCAGCTTCTCAATTTTATCCTCTATGAGTGGACTCCTCGGCTCCAGTGTCAACACTCTGGCTTAGCAATAATGGGTATAAAAAAACAAACAATTTGATCCACGCAGGTTGGGGAACATTGGTACTGTACATTCTCTTTCTAGTTTAGTATAAAGACGTGCAAAGGCCGGAGAGGGCCACAAACGAAGCTTTCTTGCTACACATATTTCTGATGACTCCTTGGGCTATCTGATTAAGTGTTTCCTTACATTATTTTTTAAAAAAAAAACCAAATCATTTTTCTTTATCTAACTTCTATTTTTTTTAAGAAAAAATAAAAAAAAAACAGACTGGTGGGTACTCACAGAAAAGTTGTATAAAGTCCCCCTGTTGCTATTTTTGATGATAGAGAATAAATAGGGTTTTTGAGACCTTTGTAGTGTTTTTTCTTAAAACTCTACTCTTGACAATGCAATAAAACAAAACGAAAACAAACAAAAGTCACCAGAGTCCAGTGACGCCTGACTGAAGCTTTTGTCATTATCTTTAGAAAAGAGGCAGCTTGTAAGGAACATTACAAAGTGCACTTAGAAATTAGATGGTTAAACTGTGCCAATTGTTTTTTTTTTATTTTAATATACTTTCCCAAACTGTCTGGTAAGTCATTATTATTATTATCTTTTTTTTGAGACAGAGTTTCTCTGTGTAGCCCTGGCTGTCCTGGATCTTGCTCTGTAGACCAGGCTAGCCTCGAACTCACAGAGATCCACCTGCCTCTGCCCTCCAAGTGCTGGGATTACAGGCATGTGCCACTATGCCCAGAAAAGTCTTATTGTTTTTAAAACTAATTTTTCAACTCATTAGTTCCTGCATGTGCTTTCCTATAAGCTTTATGATAACTTTTTTAGATTTGTGAGTGATGGATTTTATGCCTTTGTTAATACTTGGATAGGACTCCATTCAAAACTGTAGACTGCACAGTAGACCAGAGAGAAGTCCCTGCCCTGGTCCAGAGCACCGCATCCTGGAGTTACATTTCATAAAACGTGGAAGAGCACCACGGTTTGGGTACACTCACACTGGAGCAGTTGACTGCTTTCCCAGAGCTACTTCTCTTCTCCAGCCTGTAGTGCACTGACTGAGAGAAGACACAGTATACATTTAAGCTGTATGCTGACAGACTATTAAATGCATTTTTATTATCTTTGTGAGCCTGGGGCTTTTTAAAGTCACTTTCCAGCGCTAGCGTTTAGTTCCTGGCAACCATCTCTTCAGGACTTTTATAGATCCCCCTCTAAGGCTGCAATTATTCAGAGACAAGGGCTTCCCTTCTTATCTGCTCCACTCTCTTGAGGAGGACTTTGAAAGCACAAGATAATACCCCTTTTTAAAATGAGTTGCTTAGCAAGAGTCTCCTCTTTTCTTCTGGGAAGTTCGATGTGCTTCTCAGGGGGAAATGAGTCCTGGGAGGGGGGTGAGTGCTCCAGGGAGGACCACAGAGCCTGGTGCTTCTGAGAACCTGCAGGGAACCTACTGTGATGCTTTTGTACCGTCTCGCAGGTCTTACAAAAGGCCTTTTTGGGCAGTCAAAACCCTCCTCTGTCCCTGGTCACGCGTGGCTGCCTTTTCTTTGACTATTCTATGTTATAGTAAGTTGTGCACATATATATTTTCCTTGTAAATGGTGACAGGCTTGGGGGCATGTACCATCCCCATCCCCAGAGTTTGGTACATAGTACGTGTTTAATAACATCTGCTGAATTGAACGTATTTTTTTTTTTTCTTTTTTGCTATCTAGTGGGCTCAGCTGGGGCTGAATTGTGACATCCTGCTTCTGTTCAAAGATTTCTAGGATGGGTTACCAGCTGGAGGAGGCAGTTCTAACTGCTCTCTTGGGGGGGGGTGTTTTGCTGACTACCCCGTCCAAGCTTACCTGTAGGCTCCAGGCAACCTAGCTCTTAGTGGCTACATCCTACCCTTAGACAATGCCAGCTTCTTCTCCAACTTGTCTTTGCTCCAATCCCTTGAACAAGCTTCTGCCTTTACTTCCCTTTTGTTTGTATCCTCAGTGAGGGTTAGAAATGAACCCTTACACTCAGCATCTGGACCCTGTGGTCTTAATCTCAGTTACCACCTACAGGTATGCGCCCACACACCTTTCTCCTTGCACTTGAGGATTGTGATCGTTTTTTATTGCCAGCTGGACACTGACCCTGTCCCTGTGGTCTGTATACTACCACTTCTCTGGTTGACAGAGATCCATAAATTACCCAATTTACACTGTATCCACAGATGCTGGTAATCCGCCCCCAACACACAGGCCATTCCCCATTACCTTATGTCAGCCCTCTAGTAACTGTGCTCAGATGCTTAGGAGACAGGAAGAACCGGGGACATTTTAACAGGATTGCCCCACAGAGGTCAAGGACAAACAAACTAAAGTCACAGTCTAGATGCCATCTATAGGCCAGATGCTGCCCACAGGCAAGATGTAAGATGTAGTTCACAGGCTAGCTACTGTCCACAGGCTAACTACTGTCCACAGGCTAGATGTAAGATGTAGTTCACAAGCCAGATACTGTCCATGGATCAGACACTGTCTGCGGGCCAGATGCTGTCCACAGGCCAGAGGCTATCCATGGCCTGTTCAAATGTGGTTGGACAAACCATAGCTACCACTCACGTGTGGACTGTGGCTAATCTTGTGTTGCATTTGCAGAGCTAAGATGCCACAAATACAGTAGGCCAGAAAGCTTCTTAATGCAGACACCACGTGGCCCTTCAGAATGTATGCTGACCCTTGTCCCTCGTAAAGGCCACCAAAGAGCACTGAGCTGGAACCCCACTACCTCAGGAGGCTTGTGATTTCATTATTAGTGTTTCCTCACCTGTTAAGTGGGGACAATGACACATTCTACCTCATAGGGTTCTTAATGCAAAAAAAAAAAAATGATAAAAGGATACAAATTTTAATGAAGCTTGGAGCACTCAGGAAATTATTATTTTTATTCTTGCTAAAGTTTAGAGAGGTAAAGATACTCATCCAAGGTCATATTGCTTGTAAGGGACAGAGTCAAGCTTGGTCCCCAAGCCCAAGGACTATGTTCCCAACCAACCATCTCCTATGTTAACGTAAGCTGCATATATCCCACACCAGTGCCAGATGACAGCTGTGAAAGCCAGGGCAAGATGCCACCTGACCCAGGTGTGGCCCACACTAGTGGCTTGGAGAAGGTCAAGGAGTCCCTCAGTTTTCCTTCCCTTGGAGAAGTCTACTGGTTTTGGTGTCGTCAGATCATTCTGAGTTGCCTGAGAGTGTCACGGGCCCAACTGTTCCTATACAAAGATTCTGTTCTCAATGCTGTGTCACAGTGGGCATACCTCTTACTAGTTGGTTGACCTTGGACAAATTATTGTGTCAATGCTGTGCCACAGTGGGCATGCCTCTTACTAGTTGGTTGACCTTGGACAAATTATTGTGTCTGGACCTTTGTTTTCCCTTTCTGTAAAATGGGTCTTTTCAGCAATCCTGGGGTGATGGAAAATCCCAGGGGGCAGAGGACAGTGATGCTGCTGGGAGACCACGAGAATCCATGGACCCCTGGAGGACTGCTGCTACCCACCAAAGACATGGAAGAGGACGGCTCACAGCTGCAGGCTTATTTGGTTTTCCCTCCAGCCAGTGCGTCTTGAGTCAAGATCCGCAAGACCATAGGAGCCAAAATGTGGTCATTAGTCAACAGTTTCCAGATTCCACTGTTTGTCGCTTCCTTGCAAGCCCATTGTTCCACCACACACTGAGACGTCTCCAGCCATCTCTTCCCTAAGAGCCTCCTCTCAGGCCAAGTGGTCACAACAGCTTCATCTCCACGGTCAAGTGACAACAGAGCAAAGCAGACTGGATCAGGTCAGAGAAGATGGTCTTCCAGCAGGACTCTGATGAGCTGGGATTGGAGGGCCTCTGCACTCATTGGACGGTGCAGACACTGTACCACACTTCTCTACTAGGATTGACTTGCAAATATGTGTATTGGACAAACGAACTGTTTTGACAATAATGACTCTTGTGCAGAATGGAATGGGTAGAACTCATTGCACAGTATAAAACCAGAGTGTTATGAAGGGTGACCCATGAACCATGATGTCTGGGCCTGTTAAAAGAGAAGTTGGCCAGCTGCTCCCACAGCTAAGGAGTAAGCAGTGGGCCAATAGGAAGGACCTTCAAGGGAAGTCATACCAGCCACTGTCCATTGAGTGTCTACAAGGTCCCAAGTCCCTTCTAGACATTGGCCTGACTCTCCTGCCTGAGACGGGTAGTGAGAGTTTTCCCATTTTTGCAGTTGGGCTACTCGGGGCCCCTGAGTTAAGTGCCTGCTCTGGGCCACGAGCTGGCAGTGGCTTACACTGAAAGCTTTGTGCTCCCAAGTCAGCGCTTCATTAGAAATCGCTTGTTTTCTCCTTGGCTGAGCTGTGTCAGAGCATGGGCTAGAGAAGTCTGGGGACTTTCCTGAGGTATTTCTGTTTATTGATTGTCCTCTGTTTTGTGAGAGAGAGAGAGAGAGAGAGAGAGAGAGAGAGAGAGAGAGAGAGCCACCTCATCTGACAAAGGTGTTTTCCCTCTATCTTTGGGAATTAATTTCTGTGGAAAAAATTATAGATCACAACTTGAATCTCATTTAGTTTCCCTAATTACTGTAATATTATATATTTAATGAATTTGTCTACAGGAGAAGTTGAGTCAGGAGAACCACAAGTTCAAGGCCAGCCTGGGTAACTTAAACCCTGTCTCTAAATAAAAATGAAAAAGGACTTGGGGCGTAGGTTGATCATAGAATGTCTGCCTAGTGTATGCAAGGTCCTGGGTTCAATCCCTCGTGCCACAAAATTAATAATAAGAAAAAGAATAAACTTGTGCAAACTGAAGATTGCAGTGATGAGCTCTTCAGTTTGGAATCTACTGAATGGGATTCACTCAGGTCTAAAAAGACCTGCCCCGAATTAATTACAGCCACAGATAGTGGGCAAGGGCTTACTACAAGTCACATGCTTTTGATGTAATGATGTCATCTGACCGTCACGATGATGTGAAATATGCACCCCTAATCCCTTAACTATGAGCCTTACATAAGAGACAAGAAAAGGGGGCTCTTTGCAGGAGTCCCTCAGCGAGGTAGCAGCAAGTGTCTGCCTCCTGCAGCCTCTGTCGTGTGCGTTACAGAAACTAGCAGCTAGACACTAGGAAGGTCCTTTGCTACTCACCTGACCTGCAAGACAATTTAGAACTATTTAGACACAAAGGCACCAGCGGACAGCTTGCTGGCTGACCTTGTCACAGTGCCTTTTGTGTGATGAGCTTGCAATTTCACTCCTTCTTTTGATTGGAGTACCTGTGGTTGAAGATCATGGGGTCTCCAGCATGGTCTAGCTCCCACCACTGATCTGGCCTCACATGGTCTAGCTCCCACCACTGATCTGACCTCAGGGTCAGAACTAATACCACAGCCTCTGAACAGAAATCCCATGGTCTTTGAGCCAGTCCCTAGCCTGGCAACCTTCCCTTGTTTACCTGCTTGTCTTACAGGCTCTGGGTTTACTACCCTCGGCTTAGACTGAGCTCTAGTTTATAGGTCCCAAGAGTCCCCTGGCCAGCAGGGACAAAGGGCAAAGGCCAAAGCAGGGCTTGAGATTGTGCTCTTTGTGGCACATTGGCCCTATTGTTCCTGGCTGGCTTCACTCCTCTGCTGTGAGCTCTGGGATGCCAATGATCCCACACCATGCTGAATTCTTCCATAGGAAAGCTGAGGTCAGGTGGGTATGCCATGGCGAGCCCCGGGCACAAGCTGCACTCTGCAAGGTGCACATGTGACTTGAGTCTTTGGTTGTTTCAGGAACAAATGGCTTTTTAATTACACAGCCTAGACAGGTCCTTGTGGGCCAGTGGAGAAGGGTACCTCCTGGGGCTGTCTGGCTGCCACCTTGATTTCCACCCCTTCAAGTGGCCACTTAGAAAAGAGAGGAATCATGGATCATCAAGCTGAAGGACAGGACGGTCGCACTTTCCAGGTGAGGACAGTCACACTGCCCAGGGGAGGGGGGATTGCAGAGCCGGAGACAGATGGGGTGGGGGTACTTGGCAGATAGCAGAGTATGAGGGGTCTTCAGCCTGTGGGGCATAAGCTGGGCTCCAATGGGGATCCGAAGGGATGGTGCGGACATGGGCTTCACAGCTGGCTTAGGTTCAGGACCTGCATGTTCTCCTGCCTTCTGACCACAGGTGAGACGCCTAAGCTTCAGCTCTGTTAGCTCTAGAATGGAGGTGGCAGTGCCCCGACCCTATAAAAAGTACACGAAGAGATGCTGTCCCTCTTCAGCACCGAGAAAGACTGCTAAGACAGAGATGCGCTCTTCTGGGACCTGCCCCGTCCTGGGTCTGTATGTCACCACATGCTCTTCAGACTGTAACTCTGGGGACAGCTGCTGTTTTGCTGAAGAGAAATCACGGCTTGCAATGGGCCCTTGGCTCCCATTCCCCAGTCTGCTGTTCCCACGCTGCCGAGCTCCATGTGCTGACTCAAGGCTCCCCACGATTCCAAGTCTGAATGAGCAACTGGGGAATCCTCCTCCACATGGCATGCTCTGCCAGCATTTGGAGTCACATGGCGTGAGCACAGCACAGTGTTTGTAATGGGGATAATATTTTGAAAATAATAGCCGCATATGTTTTTTTTTTTTTTCCTCTCCAGGAAACAGCACGGCTCAGTCTGTTCTGTGGATGGTGGGCAGGAGGAGACCAGGATGTGGGGAAAGTTCTGGTTGGACAGGCTGAGGGAGCAGAGAGCCCACCTCTTCTGGACCCTGGTGGATGGCCAGCCAAAGGAAGAGGAAGTAGGGAGGGCCTGGAAGCCAGGGCATGTGTCTGTCAAGAGGTTATGGAGTTGCAAAGACGTGTGCCTGGGAGTCCTGCAAGTGTCTATAGCTCTTTGGCTCAGTGCCTGATCAGAGGCCAAAATCCCCAAGGGCTGGGGGCTAAGAAAATAAGACACATCAGGAGGACGTTTATAGTATGAACATTGGGGGTCAGCTAGTGACCCCAAGGGCTAGAAGAGCCAGACATAGTGTGATCAGCCCATGAAGCAGCCAAGCCGGCCCTTCTGCAGCAGAGAATGGAGACCGCTGAGGAAAACCCTCCAGGCTAAGGCCAGCTGCTGTGTATCCGTGACTACCGTTGCCTGCTCAGTGGCTCAGGTTGGTGCCTTCGAGAGGGGAGTGGCCCTTGGAATGACGCCACAGTGTCTAGCCACAGGAAACTAAGCTGTCTGAATGACACTAGCGAAATGGGAGGGGGGCAAATTATCCCCAAGTATAAGTTCAGGTTTGACTATAAACCCAACTGTGTGCTGCAGGCGGGCGTTTATACAAAATAAAATGCTCTCTTCTTTATACCCGTGTATACTGTGTGAAATTTGTAAACCAATGTGTACCGGTTAATTTAACCAATATTTCCAACGTCAGGCATGTTAGGATGTTTGGAGGGCTGGAGATTTGGTAATGAGTAAGACGCGAACCCAGAGAAGGCCCCTGTTCCTGTATGACCTCCTTCTAACAGGGGTTGGAGCGGGAAACATGGACACAAACCAGCAATTATCCTTAGGTGGACAGCATTGCCATACTGAAGCTAGATTAAGGTGACAGAATGGAGAGAAGCTAGCCGTGGTCAGAGGAAGCCACAAGTGACGAGAGGAAGGGCCAGCCAGAGCGTATTCTGCCCCGTTCAGGTGAGAAAAGTTGAGGCTCTGAGAGGGAAGAACCTGGCCCGAGGTCACCTGTGCAGTGATCTTTGTTAGCTCCAGCTTCCAGAGGCTGGGATGGCTAAAAGCTTTGCGCCTTTCCTGAGGTCTGAAGAAGTGTGTGTGTATGTGTGTGTGTGTGTGTGTGTGTGTGTGTATGTTTGTGTGTATGTTTGTGTGTATGTGTTTGTGTGTGTTTGTGTGTGTGTATGTGTGTGTGTGTTTGTGTGTGTGTGATTGTGTGTTTGTGTGTGTGTGCATGTGTGTGTGTGTGTTTGTGTGTGTGTGTGTATGTTTGTGTGTATGTGTGTGTGATTGTGTGTGTGTGATTGTGTGTGTGTGTGATTGTGTGTGTGTGTATGTGTGTGTAATGGGCCCTATGCAATCTGTGAGCCCATCTAAGTTGGAAGAATTGAAACTCTTGACCATGCAGAGTTGGGTCTCAACTGCAGTTCTGTTCCCTTGCTGTTTTTCTGAGCCCTGGCAGCCCCCTTAACATTTCTGAGGCTTAGTTTACCCTCTATAAAAGAGCTGTGTCTCCTAGGCTAAAGGCGAGTGTTCAAGGTGAGGTATAGAAGAGCTGGAAAGCCGCCCCTGGGTGTCCCTTGCCTCCACACCCTCATCGCTGGCTACCTGCGTGCACATGAAGGACCCATTGCCACCAACGGCTTGCTCCTTAAGGATGGGGCCCGGTCTGTTCCCTTCTGTATCCCCAGGACACAGCATGAGTATGAGTGGGTCAAGAGTATCGAGGGGCTTACAGGGTCACATGGCGGGATAATGTGAGAGGTCATACCCACAGGAGAGGACAGGAAATGAGAGCTACACATGGGCACTAAAGGGGCATGTGACTGGCTCTGGGCAGGATGCACGAGTGCTCCAGGCTTAGGAAGGAGGCAGTCTCTCAGAGGGATCTGGCCGGCAGGTTAGATGTCAGGGAGAGGCAAGCCAGATACCAGGACTGGCCAAGGAGTGAGGGTAGCATGCAACGGAGGCACACAGTCAATCCAGCTAGGGGTGGGAGTGAGTGGTGGGGGTGGGCGGGGGAGGGGACCAGCAAGGCTGGGACAGGAAGACTGAAGACCAAGGCCAGTGAAGGAGCCACAGTAGCCAATGAATGGAGCAGAGGAAAGGCAGGGGAGGGGGGGGGCAGATGGTAGATCAAGGAAGAACTGCATTTGGGTGGAGAAAGGACCTGAAGTGAGGTGGGACCTGGAGTTGGTAGCTGGAAGGGAGGGAGGAGCTGGGAACATGGATGTGGCTTGAAGAGCAGCGTGAAAGGCTGAGGCACATTCCAGGAGCTGGGACCTCAGGTGGGGAAAGCTGGACTTGTGTTCAGCATGGCACCTTGGCAGTGGCAGAGTCTCTTTCTTTGGAGAGAGAGAGAAGAGAGAAGGAGCCGGATGACACCTGTTGGGGGGGACCCCAATAGTAAGGGGAGGACAGGGCTTGGGAAGTGCCCCACCCTAATACGGGAGAGAGGGACGGGGCCTGGATGATTGTACTGGGATAGACTCAGCATTGCAGGTGACCCATCAAGGGAACTGTCAGGTGGCCTGTGAGCTGAGGTTTGGATTGGGATGTGACACCAGTCAGGTGGGGTGACCGGCTGGGATACAGCGGCTGGGCAGGACTGACTTCCAGGTGCCTCTCAGCATGTTTAAGTGGCACACTTTAGAGAAAGAAGGAGGAAGAAAGAGTGACTTGTCATCACTGCTTCCATGGGCCCAAGGCTGGGTTTCTGACTCTCCTCCAGCTGCCAGGCCAGATGCCCTGTGGGTGCCACTGTGTATCGTGTCTGCTGATGGCGGCTAGCCCCCCTTCAGAGGACACGCTGCTGTCTGATTGGTGAGAGCAGTGTACTGTGCTGGTCATTGGAGCTGAAACCAGCAATGAAGACCCCAGAGAGGAGAGCTAGGGTGGAGTCGAGACACCTAGGGGAGTCTGGTGCCACTGCTCCCTGCTGGTGGCCTGCCCCTCTTCATCTCCCAGTCTAGCCTTGGAGCCCTGTTCCTGGGCGCAAAGGGACAGAGCCTTACACACAGGCTGGCTGCTTTCTGCCTTGTTCTCTGCTGGTCCCGGGACTGTGGCTGTGGAACCCCATCTGGGGTGCACAGGAGTATGTATGAAGCTTGAGGTGTTTCTACCAAGGTAGAGGAGCCAAGACAAAAGCCTGGGTGGCCCGGGTGTTTTCACTGACTACGATATGGACAGTAACTGTAACGATGGCCCTTCCACTGTGGGCCTCCTTGGGAACGGGAGTTTCCATCGCTGGCAGCTCATCAGGCCCCAGTGATACTGGGGAAACATATCAAGAAGGTACGTCCTGAGAAAAACATCTCTGTCTCAGCAGGGATCTCTACAACTCCTCTCATTTCCCTGGTGCCTGGGATGCAGATCCTTGCCCAAACCCCTGTCCTGAGTTGACAACCCCCTAGACTAGGAGCCATCTGGGAGCCACCCAACCGTAGTTCAGGACATGGAGGGCTCTTTTGTCCTCCCCCACCCCTTACTAAAGTCACTGAAAGATTGGGAACCTGATGGGAGGAGGGAGAAGCAGCTGTGCCTCAATGATGGGGAAGACGGTCTATGTTGGGGGTCCCTTCGATCATTAACAGAGGCTAGTGCTGAATGTTTAGGCTCCAAGCCCAGCCTCATCTTTGTTGGCTAGTCTCTGTGGGGGGCCATCAGAGTCCCTTCTCAGATTCATCTTTTTACCTGAAGATGAGGATAATGGCATTCTCTCTGCTAACATCCTGGCACATCTGCAAGGACTCCCCCTCATCCACAGAAAGATGGAAGCTTGGTGAAATTTTCCTGGTGGGGTCTGGATTTATGCACAGCCCTCAGTGCCCCCTGCCCTGCTTCCTCCAGGCTCGGGACAATCTGAGGTGGACCTGCTCTTCCTGAGGTCCCTCTGCTGGAGCACAGGTCAGGCCAGGGAATTAGGTGCTGATGTCCAGGCAGGGGTGGATGTACTAGGACACGGTTACAGGCTCAGCCCCCTCCTCCTCCAGCATGCGCAGGAGCTCCTCCATCCTGGATGCCCACAGCATGGTCAGGCTACTCTACTGGAGCTTTCCAGGTGTGGGTCTTAGAAGTCCTGGGTCTGAACTGGTTCCACTCAGGCAGACTGGGAAAGGCTTGTGGCTCTAGCATCGATTCAGATGGAAGTGGTGGGTGAGAGGATGAGAGACAGGACTGGCCTTAGAAATACCAGCCCTGGGGCTGGAGAGATGGTGCTTCATTAAGAGCACCTGCTGTTCTTGTAGAGGACACGTTTGGTCTCAGCACCCACATCGGGTGGCCCACAACCATCCATAACCCCAGTTCCAGGGACATCTGACACCCACTTCTGGCCTCCAAAGGCACCAGGCACACACATGGTGCACATACACACATGCAGACAAAACACACTCTCTCTCTCTGTCTCTCTCTCTGTCTCTCTGTCTCTGTCTCTCTCTGTCTCTCACACAAATAAATAAATAAATAAATAAATAAACAAACAAACAAATAAAATAAAATAAAACCCAAATCTTCAAAAATGAAATAAACAAAAGCCCATTCCCATGACTTTAGGAAAAATTAATAGAAAGTACCTTCAAGGAGCGCAGCCCTCCCTGGGTTCCCAACAGCATACTTGCTCCTTCTCATACATGTTCGGGGCCAAGCACCCGCTACAGACAATCGTGACAGCCACCTTTATAAGTATATTTTTATTGACAATAAAAAATTTCAATGCTTCCTTCCTTGCAAGGAAGGGGCTGCTGAGTCTTGACGTGTGCATCTGCCCACCAAGACAGAACGCCAGCGGCATGGTCACCTCCCATACACACGCATTGCTAAGAAGGCAGAGGTCAGGGGATTTACATTCATGCAATGCAGGTCTCACACTACCTGGGCTGTTTAGGTCATATTTATACAGACTTGAGTACAGTATTTATATATATATATTTGTATAGATAGATATCTCTTTAAATATATATAACTATATATAATATGCCTATTTTTTTTTACATCTATTACTCTTTCATCCAAAATGTCTGCTAGCAGGCTTGTAGAAACACCTGGTAACTGGAAGATCCTAAATGCCGCTGAGTTCTGACAGGACTTGAAAACAGTGGAAAACATCTGGGTTAACATGTGGACATGGACTCTTCACCTGACTTCTGCATTCAGGCTGCTTGGCGAACTGGTCTTAGTAGAGCTGCTGTGGGGCCCTTTGAAATGATGCTCTAAGTTCACGCTCTTGGTTGACATGATTATGTTTCAGCCATGTGGGTTTAAAAACTAGTGGCTTCTGTTGTGATGTAAGATGAGTCCTCTAAATGGCCAGTCCTGGGCTTGGGGGTGCTGTTCTCTAGGGACACCCTTTTAAACCTGGGCCCTTCCCTTGATTTCCCCTAATTGTAGAATGCGATGATACAACCCCACTAGAAAGAATATACATGTACATTAGCCAAGCACAGTGGAAACTCAGCTATGGTCCCTGCTGGCTGATAGCATGTACACTGTGGGCTTTCTAGATTTAAGCCAAGGTCAGGACACATGGGTGCATGGAAATCTCAGACTCTGTCCAGCCCTTCATGTCCCCTGGCAGAGAGCTCCCCTCCAGCTACAGGTGTCCCTTCCTCACCCCTGGGCCTTGAGAGC